CCATTCCCACTCCCTAGTGGCAGCTTGACCCCTGAGGGTCGCACAAACCACACTTTGGGAATCCCTGTGTTGAATAAATGTGAGAGGGTAAGTTCCGTTACAGGAGTCATGAAGTAAACAATGGTTAAATGGTCGCCTGGTGTCGTTCCTACAGGAACAGCTCGTGTCTATAAAAGGTCCAAAAGGATGAAAGCCATATATAAAGGAAGTCAAGTGGAGTGTCTGCAGCGTCTGCTGCTGCCACTGCTGCTGCTGACATCAACAGCTTTCAAAACATGAATGGACAAAGCAGCAAGAGGATAAGATTTCCACAGAGTGCCTATCCCCGCCGCCCCCTTCTCTCCCTTTGGAGTGGATTCTGCTAAAGCTGCATACATGAATTGAACTTTGTAGAAAAGTGCGGACTTCAGCTGAGAGAGGATTTACTGGCTGATGTGCATGAATGGAGCAGCGGCACAAAAGAAATGTGTGACTCTCTGCTGCTCTTCAAGCCTGGTGGCAGGAATTCAGACACTGTGTATAAATATATATTAGACGGGTGTCTGAAAAGCAACTTCACACGTCGTCAGCACATTGGCATAATCTACTGTAGTCTAGACTATCTACATATATTCGGCATATACGTATGTAAGTATATACATATAAACATGTATACATACATACAGTATACATAATACATACATACAGCGTATACATATGTAAATATATATATGAACATATGTGCTGTACATACATACAGCATATACATATGTAAATATATATATGAACATATATACATACATACAGTATACATAATACATACATACAGCGTATACATATGTAAATATATATATGAACATATGTACTGTACATACATACATACATACAGCATATACATATGTAAATATATATATGAACATATATACATACATACATACAGCATATACGTATGTAAATATATATATGAACATATATACATACTAAATATGTATATATGAACATATATACATACATACATACAACATATACTTATGTAAATATATATACACATACATACAGCATATATAGATGTAAATATACTGTATATAAATATATATACATATAAACACATAAATAGTATATATTTCTTTTTAAAGGATCGTGTATATATGTTAATATGCTACTAATGCCTACCTTTATTCCTAGCATACTTGACCAAACTGTTTTTACATATTAATTAATAACAATGCAGCTGAATGAATACAAACGCTGCCTCTGAGGTAATCAGGGAAAAATGCAATCAAATGTGAACTAATATTTCTACTATGTAAAATATTCTGATTAAGGGTAAATTCCACTGCCTTCAGGAGAGTACATACATTTGCATATATTTGTCATCACCCTCTACTAGCTGGAGGTGAGAGAAATGAAGATGATGGTTTTTCACTGGATGGACATCAGGAAGGTCTAGAAATTTGGATGGTGAGGACGAGATGGTTTGGACATGTGCTGAGTACGGTAAATATATTATATATATATTGGATATATATTAGGATGTTGGAGATGGAGCTGCCAGGCAAGAAGATACAAGGAAGACCTCAGAGAAGATGAATGGATGTAGTAAAAGAGGACATGGAGATGATTTGTGTAACACTGGAGGAGGCAACAGAAAGGGTGGAATGATGATTCACCGTGGCAACCCCTGGAGGGAGCAGCTGGGGGAGGAAGGAAGGAGAAGTTAATGAAGACGAAGAAGGTGAGGCAGTGGTAGTAGAGGTAGTAGTAGTAGTGCTAGAAGGAAAGGAACAAGAAGAATAAGAGGGAGTAGATCAAGTAGTAGTAGTAGTAGTAGTAGTAGTAGTAGAAGAAGAAGAGGAACTCCTCGGATGTTTGGAGGGTGGTGTTTCGTGGTGAACGATTATAATGTGAAACGTTGGAAAAGTGTGACAGATTAAAGTGTGAACAGCTGTATATCGTGATATTTCTTTTGACAACAGAACGTTTTTTCTCTTAAATTCTCAGTTTTTTAGTAGCAAACATTGATGCTGAAATTATGTGAAAAATAAAAACATACACAGACGGTGGCACTGGTCTCACTGGACATCGACACTGATCGATGTTGTTGTGGTAAATACCACTGACCTAACGCTGCCCGTCGTGACGTGGCATGCTCTCCGAGTTATTGTGCTATTGAACAGATTGAACACTTGAGTGCATGTAATGTGTTGATTCAGTGGGTGAACCCAATTGACTCCAATCACGGTGGAAAAAAACAGCCGTAAAAAGAAACCACGTGGAGAGAAAATAAATATTCTGCCGAAGCTAAACCTCATCTTCCCAGGTCTGAGTCGACGCCACGACTGAGCCATTTACACTTGTGGAAATACATGTGTCATTTTTAATCCTGTCATATGAAGTGTAAAATTAGAACACACCACACACCCATGTGGGCTGTGAAACACACACACACAACACACAACACACAACTAACCATCTGAGAGAGAGAGGGAGAGAGAGAGACAGAGAGAAAGGGATAAAAGAGCGTCAGTTCTGTCTGTTCTGATGTGCTGATGAAATGAAGCGCTAATGTACAACAGGTGTGCCGTCCACATACAGGGCTATTTATCTCCTTTAATCACCTTTCAACTAAACTCCAGCAAATTGTGTTGGACACGTTTTAGATTGATGCAGTAAATGGGCTGCTGCTGCCGCCCGTCCATAAATTAAACGCTCTGACGAGAAACCTGGGCAAAACAAAACATCAATCAAAATGTTTTATCAATCAAATTTATGTATTTTAAAAAAATCTAAAAATCCTACCACAATGATCTGATCTGATTCTGACCCTCCTTCAGTCATTACTGGGTTTAGACTCACAGTCCTCTGTAGGCTTGTTTGGTAAACCGGTACTGAACCGGTACCAAAGCATTTGAAACAGTACTGTGTTTGGAAAATTTGGAAAAAAGAAGAAATATATATATATATATATTACTCACAAAAACTTCTGAATATTTATTCACAAAGTGCATCAATTACTCCATTTATTTTTAGATTATCTGCGCATTCTAGTTCTAACATCAAGTCCTTTTCTATTTCCTTCCGTGCTAATACTGAAAGTCCAGTCCGTCCTGTCGTATTTACAGCATACGTTTTAATTTGATTTACGCTTTAAATGTCTGCTCAACAGCAGCGAACGCAGAAAAAACTTCCAAGTTGCCGTAGATGCTAACGGTTAGCGTTAGAGACACTCAAAGATAGAAGGCCGTGGTGTGGCCAACTCTGATTAAATTTGATTGGTTAAAGAAACAATTGTTCATTTCAGGCTCCAGGCACCTGCACTATTGATTTTGAAGACCGTAGGGCAGATTTATCTCACCCTAGCAACACATAAGACTGAAATGTAATTGGATAAAAAAAAATAACTCAAGAAAACTCGACTGGAAGCATCGCAGTCGAGAGAAAAGCTATGAAATGATCAGAACACACTGTTCTGTATTATTGAATTGGTATTGATGATAAATATATACAAAAATATGTCACTTATTCTGATACTGTTTCAGCAGAGGACGCTTTACTGGGTTTGACGGTACGTCACTGCAGTAATTAAATGTGGGTCGGATTCTTTGCCAAACGATGAGGTACTTTTCAAAAGTATAACTTTTTGTGTCTTAACTGATAAGATTATCTTTATTTTAGGTCTTGGAAAGAACACGAAGTTTACAAAGGGGATGTGTTTTAAGGAAAAGATAACGATTCCTTTGATGTCATTATAACACAGTGGTTTAATTCAAAATGGAATTTTTATCAGCTCAGTTTGACAACTCCTCAAACCGTATTTCCTCCTTCAACATGACTAAATAACATCCCAAAGTCTACAGACTAGTCTACAGATTGGTTGGACAAACACACCTCTTCTAAGGAATACTGCTGTACACACACACTTATAACCAGGATGTACATCAAACTGATAAACTGTGTCATGTGCCTTTGGGAAAATACACTCAGACGGACACACCTGGCATCTCCACGACTTTCTTATCAGGTCGAGTGGACGTAACGTTTCAAACAATCACAGGGCGCAGCGTGTTCGACACTGTGTACTTCTCTACGGGTCACATGTAGTTCAATGTGCGCTAAAAGTACTTTTGCTATTAAATATTTACTCCTTACGTTAATCCTAAGCCAACAGTGTCAGACAGGATTAATAATGCACTTACTTGCACTGAAACACAACAACCTCTAAGTTCATGCAGTATTAAAAATTCCCTGAAGTAAAGTGGGATCGAAGGGGAAAATCATTACGGTGGCAGTGTGAGTCACAGGCCACACGTTTATAACTGCCACAACCTGAGTGGTGCAACCAGAGAGCCAATCGATGTGAGCGTTACAAACAGTCGTTTTCAACCCGAGGTGCCCGGGTGCTGGGAAGTCCATGAACCATAGTCAGTCAAGTACTAAATATAAATATTTAAATCTGCTTAAATTTAAACACAATGAAATGTGTCATCTGCATTTAAAACCTCAACCCATTCCTGCAGAACAATGTTCCCTGAAAGCGCCAAGGAATTAGGTGTTTGCTCAAGATGCCCCATGTGGTCAAGGTGGGATTCTAACCTCTGACTAATTAGGTCCAGCTACACCAATTTTAGACCAATAAGAACTCAGATGTTTGAGACACTTTAAGTAATGAATCACTTCAGTACAGTAGAAGGAACCGTTCCTGTTACCATTACTGGTTATCCACTAGTCCGCACTGACGAGGCCAAATTAGTCGAACTGAGAAATATGACGGCAGTTAAACCATGTTGGTTTTTTGTTTTTCCAAAATCCAAACTGTGGGTTTTGTGATTCCAATGGAATACAAACGTACATTTGATCTGTATTTGACCATGACGTGGTCCTTGGAAAGGTTTAACACCCAGGTAAGGCTCTAAAGGTCTTGGCTCCAAAAAGGTTAAGAACCTTTAAGCTTTTTATAGTGTTTTTTTTTTTTATCTTTAGCCAGGATTCATGCTCCTGGGTTAATGTCCATGTGTTCGTACCTGCTCAAAATGTGGAACGGCAGCCTCCCTTCTGTGAAGCTGGAGCTGCTTGTCAATGTTGTCCTTAAGACACTGACACACACGAAGAAAGGGAGATAGAAGGGAAGGGATGGCTTATTAGACATTTGCTGTAAACAACAGTAAAGGAATCGTGAGATCGTAAAGGTTTGACAAAGTGGACAAATTTAAAAAATAAAATACACGTGAATACAGCGCTCACATTAACTCATTAGAACTTTGCACGTATTACCTGTCAAACTGTTACTACTGTTGTAATCACTACTATCAACATCTCTGAATACCTGTGTATTTCATTGTATTTTCTAGCAGAACGGAGCTTTGAGCCGATCCCTGAGCATTAATCATGTGAGGGTCGGAAAATTTTCCATTGGTCACAAAGAGAATGGTTCTGAAGGATTTTTTTTTTTTTGACATTCTTGGAGTACAAGGTGTCCTCAGTTTACAATGTCCTCAACCTACAACCTATGTTTCGTGGTTACGTCGCCATCTCCTGTTAATTTGTTTAAAAAAGTCTTGTTTCATCATTCCGACATACAGCGATAAAACACATTTCGCAGGGGAACTAGCTTAGCTTTTCGTTTGTGTGGTTTTATTTCATTACAGCTCCCAAACTTAAGTCAGACATCTGTGTCAGCGTGGCTGAGTGACACAGGTACTTATGTACAGTGTGTGCGTTCCGACTTACGGCAGATATCGAGTTAATTCGCGTGTTACGAATGGAATTCCGACCTAAGTGGAGGACGTCCTGTACGACTGTACACCTTTTCCAAAGAGCTTTACAAAATTGTAACACAAAATTTAACATCTTCACTGGTCTGATATTAATATGAATATCATCAGTTCCACACTGTCACCAAAGTGTAGTTCAAAGACATCAGAGGTGACCCTTCCTCCCTCCTAACTCCCCCGTGTGTGTGTGTGTGTTAGCTAATAGTTTCTTTATTAGAACGACTTTAACAAATAAAATGAAGTTTGTCATTGAAAACACCGAGAGCCCCTCCCTCGTCCTGAGGCCAGACGAGTCTAAGTGCATTACTGAATTACAGCCTCAACTTCCATTTTGTCTTTGAGAAACTGCGCCAAACTTAAATAGGTTTTTGTAAATCAGAGTATCCATCGCCGACACTATCTGAGAAGTTGTTCTGCAGAGTCAGCGGTCACCGGAGCCTTCAGACTGTCCAGCTCTCAGGGAGTCAAAACACTAGCATTAGTGAAATTAGATGAAGGCCAGTATCCACACCGGAACGGAACACGATAGGACGGCAAAAATAATGACAGTGAACGTCTAATGGTTGGATTGTTCACCAAAATGAGGAAAAATCAAAAGAGTGTGAAAGTTGAGGTCAGAGTTGGCTTTTGGCTGAGTTAATTACACACGTTATTGCTTTAATCGCTGGAAAATAAATGATGGATTAAAAGGGTTGTTTGTTTTCAGGCCACAATTTGTTCTCATACTCCAGGGCGAAAGCAAAGAAAACTGGAAATGTCCTGTACATAAAGAGACAAACAACCGTGCACACTTACATCTCAAGGACAAAGGACAGATTTTTGAGGATGGAAATGTCCACAGAGTGAACGACTTGTCACTGTGACACAACACACCACTAAACACAACCAAATGTGACCTCTGCTTTTAACCCATCATCAGAGTCAACAGTGGGCAGCAGTGGGTGGGGACGCTGCCTTGAACAGAGCACCTCAGCTCTAACTTAGCAGCTGGTGGACTCAAACCCACAGAGCACCTCAGCGGTAACTTAGCAGCTGGTGGACTCAAACCAGAAACCTTTCCGGACCACTAACCCACCACTGCCCCACCTGGAGACACAACCTCTCGTCCAGAAAACTCAACTCTCCGAGGAGCACCTAGCCAGACGTAACCGTCGGGTAAGACTAACCTCCTAGTCGTCTCTACCAACCGCCCATTCACACATCAACCCTTGTGATCACAAGTTTTCCTCCATTAAGAAGTGGGCGTGGTCACCTCCAGTGCTTACTACAACGACCCTCGTTTCAGGTACTCAGCCACTCTGACGTTAAATACCAGAAATTTCCCAGCAACAAATTAGAACTGAAGAAATCTCTCGGATGAAGACTGTCCATTCACACTCACATTCACACCTACGGTCCAATCAGAGTGAACACCAGACGATTGTAGCCTGACATTTTGTGTGGCAGTTTGTCCATTGTCCCATGTCTTCAGAGATTTGACGGACGTCCTGGTCAGGGCTGAATCATGCACATGCCTTCACAGCTGCGTGGCCTCCTCTTCCTCGGTCTGTCTGTTTCAATTAGCTTTAGTGTTGCATTGGCCAACGTCATGCTACATTTGTTGAGCCACTGACGCACTAAGTGCTTGCTGCTTAAAGCTCCGTCAGTGTTAGTGATGCCAATACACGCTAAAAAGACTTATGAGGTGAGTGCGTCAATGACAACTTGAAGTTTTACTTTGAAGGCTTTTTTGCCCTCGTCTAAAAACTGAACTGAATTTGAACATATTTCTGTTCAAGTTTGGTTTTAAAAAAAAGTGATGGTTGCTGCAAACTTGTTAGTTTTTACAGTTGACCAACCACATTGAATATAATGTAAGACTGCGTTGAGCTGTTTTGGAGTCCTAAAATTGTATCTTAAAATTATATACAAATCATTACACATCTTTTGGAATGAAAGTATTTGTCTTAGAACTTTTTGACCTTTCCTCTTACGAAATATAATTTGACAAAACATTCCGAACAGGAACATGAAAAAGGGACAAAGCCAAAAGAAAAAGAAGAAAAAGAAGATTCCGAACATGAAATGTTTTTGGATTTTTTCATTTTCAAAATGCATCAAGGGGGCCGGATTGAACCCTGTAGCAGGCGATGTGGGGTCCGCAAGCCATATGTTTGACATCCCTAAAATAAATCAGTCAATTTCTGTATCTAAGAGTAAGGAATAAAGGAACGCATAGAGTTGAACAAAAACCGTTGATGAAACTGAGGCTGACCTCAGCCGCACCACAGAATGATGCAACTGGTGGTTTTTTCTGTGGAGACAAAAATCAATGTCCCTTTGATATCCATCCCACCAACTTAATCTGACTCTGTAAACGACGAAGAAAAGGCAGTGATATTTGGAACACGCGCACACACAAACAAATAAGCCACGTTTAATGAAAACAACAGGTTTATGACCACAAGAAATCTTGGTGCACTAGTTTTTTTTGCTGTTTTTTGACTTCCTGTACCAACAATAGACAGAAAATAAAGTTGTTTTTATATTTTTGAATTACTAATTACCCTGAGCAATTATGATCAGGGTAATTAGTGCAAATAAGTTCCATCAGTAGATCCAAAAGAACGGGTTTCAGAAAGTGAAGAATGTGAGGTCTTGTAACTTCTATTTATAAAATGGACAATTCTCTGGATTTTTGCGAGTTCCTGGGACCAGTGCACGGTGAGGACACGTTACTCGCCGGTTCTGTTTCTGTCCACATGGACAAATACCAGAACAGTTGGCCATAATTCCTCCTAAAGGAACGTGACGAGAACCAGACAATAGCAGGAAGGCTGCGACGTTAAAACAGAAATAAACATTAGCTTAAATAAAAGTTTGAATTTTTTTACAGTTTAGATTATTGTTTTAAAGTCATGGTTCACTTTTGGATTATGGACCGTAAGTCTTGGACCCAGGGCCAGACAGTGCTCTGACTGTACAACAAGCATGTCATGCTTTCCACCCCTGGTGGTAACCGAAGGTATTCCTATTATAAAGACATTTTTGTCAAAAATGGCAATGCACACGTGAATTTTTGCTCAAAAAAACTGAGCATACAGACAATTTTACACTTTCAAACACAAACAATGAATTTCATTCATTATTCACTGAATCAGAGCTCACTGACTACATTTTATTATTTGCTCCCATGACCTTGATCGTGGGTCACAGGTACAGTAGCTTTAACGCTCCAGGCTCTCTCATTATCACAGTATTTTACTTACTGTTAAATTTACTATTGTACTCCATATGAAATCTGAGGCAGCACAGCGGCTCACAAGAAAAAAAACCTCTCATATAAAGCATTTCAAATTAGTACATGGATTTCTGTGCAATGCACTTGTGTCGCCTCCTCAGTCCCTGGAGTCTTAATTAATAATGATCAAAGCAGGACTGGGGCTTTCAACAGGACCCGGCCTCATATGGCCTGGTCTTTCCACACAACTCCCCACCGACCAAGAACCACATCTGCAGCGCAGGCCCCCGGGGGCACGGCTGCACCTGGATCCCCACGAAAACATACAAGAGCAGGAAAACAGAAATGAACTGAAACATTACTCCGAACTTCATCTACTACTGTGTTTTTATTTTATTTATTTTTTTTTATGTTTTGATGGTGGAGATGTTAAAACAAAGGCAGAAACGACCGCAGCTCTCAGATCTGTGAGTCGGGGCTGAGCCAAATGTGTGGTTTACGTGGATATGTCGGCGAAGAGAGGAAGAGTGCGTGTTTACACAGGGCTGATGTGTAAATAGGAGGTACTCAGCACGCACTCTACTGTAAACCACTTACTGACGTCACGCACATTTTGTGTTGTGCTACAGAAAAGTGGGAAATATGAGATGCCAGCTGCAGACTGACACGGAGGTCGATGATATTGTGAGTAATGCGCAGTAAATGAAGCGAGCGCCGCCGAGACACGGCAACGATGATTTATTTCTGTCGGCGATTGATTTACATTTCTCCTGCTCATTTGTGTTTATCCAACAGAAGGCGGTGACTTTTAACGTCTGTTTGGGACCGGTGATCCGACAGAGACCTGTGGATCCTCGCAGCAAATTGGATACGGAACAAAAGAAAAAAAATCACTTGTGTCACCAAATGTTACATGCCTGAAGCCAAGATTCATCTGAAAATAATCTATTTCTCAAGACAGCTGTGCGACTGTGGTACTACGGTTTATCGAAATATACTGCGTGAAATAATGGCATCGTATTCACGTTGGTATCAAATCCTTTCAACTGTCGGAAGAATTTACAGAAACTCCTCATGACTCCTGATGGAAGTAAACAGCGTCCAGGCAGCGACCC